TGTGGATTAAAATAAGCATGATTAAAATGTTTTCTCCCTCTGAAATTTCAGATTTCTTTGGCATAATCAGTTTGCATATTAAATGAATTTTATTTTATCACTGTCCCTTAGATGCCAATGAATGTTTCCTTTGGCAAGATGGCCATCAAACTATGAACGTAAAAGCTGAAGACAACATCTCAGAAAATATTACAAAAGTTATAGCATAAATTGGGTGAAAGGACTTTGTAATAATTACTACTGATCACATTAATTTCTGTAACCCAGTACTCAAAAGATAAATTTGCTTAAAGTTATAAATTCAGTTAATACAAAACAATACAGTATTTAACTGATTTGCTTCATTGTAATGAATAAAAAAAATTCCTCTTTCTAATGTATATATTTTTACCTGGAAATCTCAAGTACTTGTGAAGTGATAGCTTTGAGAATGACAAGTTCTAATGCTCAGAGTTACAGAAATAGTGTGTTTATTCAAGCTTTTCCCCTGTTTTTTAGCATCCTTGGACTTGCATTGTACTGCCTAAGGATGTTAAGGAATTTATTTGGTTTGCATTTTAAATTCAGTTTAATTAAAGTTGTACTTTCTAAACATAAAGAAGAACTGTTATGCAATCATTTGCATTTTTCTTAATTTTGCAATGCATATTATGTGCAAGTGCAAACAAAACACGTATTAGAGAAAATAATCTGCAAAAATGCATCTATTAGAAAAATGCATACAAAAGTACATAACTTTGGGGAAAAAGCAAATGATCAAATGTTCATGTGGAAAGAAGGTAGAACTAGCTGGAAAAACTGAGCCAAATCAGCTTTGACAGAATTTTCCCAATCTCTGGGAGGTTTTACCTTCTCTTAAAAGATCTTTTCTGCTTTTGACTGCCAGTAGTTGATCCTGTGTGACCACCCTCTATGACTATTGAATGTCAGGGGATTCTTTTGTCTGCACAAAGATTTGCCGTAAGATATTTGTGACCTTTTAAAGCAGTCTTTAAAGCAGGAATCAAACTAGGGGAAAAAATGGCAAACCAACTTAAGGAGAAAAATGAGGTTTGACAAGGAAGCAAGTTTCTGGAACAAATGTCAAAGAATCCAAGCATATGTTTCATCCTCTTTCCCTCCAAAGGTTGTTTTAGGACAACAACAACAGTGCATTTTGGGTAGGAGCACTAAAGAAATATAAACATATTAATGGGTATTTTTCCCCCTGATCATAATGATTTAAGAAAATGGGTGTCAGAACCTGCATCACCCAACTGTTGTTGTTTTCCATTGTATTTAAACATATTAATGGGTATTTTTCCCCCTGATCATAATGATTTAAGAAAATGGGTGTCAGAACCTGCATCACCCAACTGTTGTTGTTTTCCATTTTTTTGCATTTGTTGGGGGTTGGATTGGTTTTTTTCTGCCCCTTGTAACTAAGGGGGGGGGGGGGGGTTGGCTGTTAATGGTTATAAGGGGAGTTGGGAAGCAGCTTAACCATATATGGGCAATTTAGACTGGCTTGATTGCCGGGCAGGCAGCTGGGGCCCAAAGAACCAGGAAGAAGCTCCGGGAGGAGGGGGAGGAAGGAGAGAGGTCAACAACAGGTGAAGAGGAATCACGACGCCAGGCAATAAGGGGAGGGGGGATAAATAGAGGGAGGTTTACCCAAGGCGTTAGTTTTAGCAATGTTTTGTTTACAAGCTACATGT